GAAGAGAGGAATAGTTTGGTGAATGACCAGATTACCAGAACTTTTAGGGAACCCTCAAAGGCTAGCCTGATACATTTTTCACTCATGAAAGAAACAACCAGAGTGTAGGGGTGGGGACACCACCAGCTTCAAATCAGCCCCTCCCAGAGGGCCGGTGGCTGAGTTCGCTCGGTGGAGAGCCCGCCTTTTTGCCTGTTTCCTAGCTGGTGGCCTGCTGAGCTCTGCCTCTGTCTGTCCAGTGTCCAGCGCGGAGCCCGGCCAGGGCTCCCTTTTCTTGGGCGATGTACTTTCAACCAGTTTTGAGCAGCCCCATTTCAGATTGGCCTTTTTATGTTTGATATAAAGAATAGTTGTTGGCCAATTTCATCTTTTCATCGCTGTTCTCTAGGCCTGAATCCAAGCAGTTTGTCAGATGCTCATTAACTCCCCCTTTGGCTCTTTCTAGTGTGTCTCCTAAGCTCATTGTGCCAAGAACTAACGCTTTCTTTTACACGATTCTCTTTCTCTGCTCCATCAGGGAGACAAATTACTTTCCAAAAGGGATCGCCAGGGATGGTTTAATGAGAATTTCTTTGGGGCTAGGCATGGAACGCAATGTAGTTAACATTCGGTGGACTTAATTGGACTTTTCTTTTCTGCCTCTTTTAAAAAAAATCTGAAGCTATCCTGTTAATCTCTCATTTGTAATCAATTGTGTTGACTAAACAAAAGTCTAGGTCGTCTTTTCTTCCTGTCCCAGACAATCCTTTGTTGCCTCTAAATGCCTCATTCTTGAGTGATCCTGGTCTCGTAGATGGGCCCGATTGTTGACAGTTCATTATTGCGCTTTTGTCCATTTAATCTTTCTTGCTGTGTTTTGCATGTGCATGCCTTAATGAGCTCCGTTGGCAATTAACATGTTTCTAGGAGCAAACTGGTTGCTCAGACGGTTGAGAGGGAAGTGCAGGGAAAAGGGCAACGCAGCTGCCTTGAGGTTGTTTATTTCCCAGCATTTTCCAAGACTCCTGTCCCCTCTTTGGCAGCCCCCCACTCCTCACTCTCACTCCCCCCCTTTCCCCACAGCCCATTCAGCACCGGCACACCTGGATGCCTTGTTGCTATAACTCTTGGGCCTGGCTCAGGCAGCCCTCCATCCTCTTGTGAGCCAAACAGCAAAATGGGGACCTTACAGGCCCACTTCTGCAGCCAAGGCAAGGAGCACAGTGCTCCCCCAAATATGTCTGGATGCTGGCAACTTCTCTGTGTCGCCCTTTGCAGAGAGGAACCTCTAACCCGCCTAAGGCAACAGGACTGTACAATCTGTTATGTTCAAGGCTGTGGCTTTGGAACAAGGGGAGGGTTTTTTTTTTTTTTGAGTTTTGCTGGCAAGATCGCTGAAGTGTGAGCAGTCATGGACAGAACAAACATCTTGTAGGGGAAAAGATAATTGGAGTCTTTTTGTGTCTGTGACAGGATCCCCCCCTCCCCCGCAATTTGATTTTTTTCCCCAAATATTTTTTAAGGGTGGCCTCTTCAATTTAATCAAGGTTAGAATATTAATATGCCGCTGATGACTACCTTGTTTAAGTCGTTTACGGACATTGCAAACTACAAGTCATGCAAACAGTTTAATATGAAGAGGGGGGAAATCTGAAAGACTGAGCCAGTCACCCATTAATTCCGATGCACAGTGAATAACTAAGAAGGACCCCCGTTAAGATGGTGACTAAGAGCGCTGAGTGTTGCCTTCAGAACCTGCACTGTCTGTGAAAGCTATTCAGTAATTCAGACAAGAGGTCCCCTTTCTCTTCGTACGACTTTTCAGGTGAAGGAATCCTTGATTGCACCCCACATCTGAAGGAAACAGGCATCTTAAGCCTGGGAGGGATGACTTTAAACCTGTGGGAAGCAGAGCGAAGCCCTATAGATACAGAATCATTCTGTTTACCCACAATTACCACCAGATGTGAAATAACACCTTCTCAGGTGAGAGCGATTGACAGGTTAAGTAACTATCAGGTTGGGAGGAAACCACCTCAAGGAGGTTGGAGTAAGCAAAGCTCCGCTCAGGTTTGCCCCAGAGCCCCAGCCACCGCAGAGAAGAGCAGTCCAAGAGAGAGAGGCCTGCTGCTCCACTCACTGCTTTGATCTCATCTGCTGTCTAGTTCGCAAGCAGGCCCCCTTCACCCCTGTCAGGACTGTACCTGAAACACATCTCTCCGGGGTTATGAGCTGGGGACCCTTTCGGTGTTTCTCCTGTGAAAAGAAGAATTTCTGAAAGAAAGTTCTCTCACTGGATGGTTAGAAAGTTATTTCCCCGGATGAGGACATCCCACCTATTTTTTATTTATATTTTCATCTTAAAGGAGCACTTGAACACGATTTCCACATGCAGGCCAACTTTTAAACCCAGTTCTCTAAGAGGGTGCTTTTGCAGCAGATTTTGTGCTGTTTACCTCTTGCCCAAAGTTCTGGAACTACTTAGAAAGAATGTGGGCTTGTCCTGGCCATTGGTCGTTCTCCAAGAAGCACATCTGCAAAGGATCCTTTCAGGAATGCAAGAAGGAAGGGATTTTGATGGAGACCACTGTCAGGGGCACCCAAGATCTCCCCGAAATGGGGGGCGGGCTGTGCGGAGGAGGCGGGGCTAATAAAACCTATTCTGAGAACCCGGGAAGGCGCCGACTCCCCAAACCCGCCCTGGAGGTAGATGTCTGGGAAAAGCAAGGCGGTGTTACCACATCCTTGGCCGCCAAGCCGTCCTTGCCCACCCCGGGGTTTCCTGGGGGCTGTGGCATCTACCGAAATTTCGAAGTTAAATCTGCCTCTCCCTCTGGGTCCCAATCTCCCCTCAGCGAACTGCAGCCAGAACGAGCTAACATTTAAATTCCTCCTCGCTTCCTCCTCCCCCCCTCCCCTGGCTGCATCTTCCCAGACTTGGGGAGGTGGGGGAGGATAGAGAAAGGAGGACGCGCTCCTTTCAGGAAATGGAATTCTAATGTACACGTTCCTATTTCTGCATCGGAGGCACTAAAAATAGCCCCGCGACAGCCTGAGGAAGCTGTCGCCTTCCTCTGTGCAAACAAAACCGACACTTCTCCTTCCCCGCGCAATGGGTCTGCGGGTTGGACGGGCGGCCGGGACCCCACCTTTGACGGCGACCGGGGCGAAGCATCCACCTAGCAGCCGGGAGCGTCTTTCCTTGGGTCCCCACTTGACGATTTCTCCTCCAAGGACAAGGACTGGAGGCCGTTTAGATGCCCGTGTAGCCTGGAGTTCGAATCCCAGCCCCACCTCGTCCCCATAACCCTACCATGTCATTTAGCGGATCTCTGCCTCCACTAGTCAGTCCGTAAAGTGGGCATGATCCTCCCCATAGCGAGTGGCGAACACTCGGAAGAAGGGCCTGGCATGGAGCAGGCGCTCCGGAAATGCCAGCGTTTAAAATCCTGCAAGCCCCAGGCGCGACGAGCACTGACCGCCTACTGTGTGCCGGGCTCGGGGATGACCAGACAACAAATCGCGCTCACAGTTACTTGGGGATCTCCTCCCTCATCAATTCTCTTTCCCTCCAAAGAGCCTCCACCTGCCGCGGGAGCCGCGCAGCTTCGCCGCCCTCGCCCTTGCACAGGCTGGACGGTGGAGCGCACGCCGGGCCGCGCCGCGCGTCCTCCCCGCGCCGGGACGTTGTCTAGGAGACGCGGGCTGAATCGCCCGCGAATATTAAGATGCGGGGGGGGGGGGGGGGGGGGAGGGGGAGGGATGGTGAGCCCAGACTGCCCTCATACCCATCTAAGGCGACAATCTTGCTAAACCGGGGGCGGCCGCCCGGCCACACCCGGGAAAGAATTCTGGATATATGCAATGATGGTTGAACGGGCTCAGGTTTTTCGCTCTACTGCGGGACTGACTAAAGAAATAAAGAGGAGATCCTTCCGGAAGTGCGCCTCGTCCCACATGATAATATGTTGATGTGATCCCGTAAAGTGATCCTACACGAGGAAACGGTGCAGGACGACTGGTTCTCCGTCGCTGGCTGTTTCTCGAGGGACGTGGACTATGTGAGATTCTGATCTACTGCTGGATAGCTTCCGAGGAGGGGCGTGCGGGAGCTATGAATTCTCAAGGTGCCCTCCCGCTACTTTGAGAGTTCCTATCGCTGAGAAAGTCAGGGAGGGGGAGAGGAGGAC